TTTTTTTTTTTCACTTGCAGAGGTATCTTACAATATTGCTGATCCTCTACATGGTTGGGAATGTGTGCGCTACCTTGTTAGTAGGCATCCGTACAGCTTTTCTGCTTGGAGTTGTTACTATAAAGGAATATTAAGGTTTTGATACTTCATTTGTCTTTTTTTAACTGTTTCTGTGCTCACTTCGTCCAGTTTTGCAGTCTGAATTCACATTTAAGCTTGAGTGGATGTTCCTACTGATAATGAACTTACTTATAATAGTGGTTGCTAATCGGTTCAAATTAAAAAACCGATAAGACGATCCGATGCATGCTTTATGTTCAACAGTAATCTATATCTGTTCACAAGAAAGTAAATGAGTGTTACTATTACTGTTTAGCTCAGGTATTCATTCAGGAATTTAGAAAACGTGTAGTCGCTGATCCAGTTTAATGCTTGAGCTATGCAGGCTTTACTCAGTTTGGTTTTAATAAAGACCTTTAGCATGGTCTGTGCTGCGTATCAGTCTATTGGTTTACTGGTCTGACTAGTGGTTAAACTGGTTGAACCGGTATTTAATTTATTAATGTTTTTAAATATATATAATACTTTATGTAATAAATTTATACATATAAATATTAATCAAATATTTAGACAATTTAAATTTAAAACATTCGAATGCTTAAATTATTTGATAAATGATTCATACATAACCATTATGTTTGATTATGTATTATTTTATTTATATTAAAAGTACTTTCAAACATCTTCATTTTTTTTTTCTTTTAAACCAAAAACTGGACCGGTTCAACCAGTGCCGGCCGGATTTTGGCTGGTTTTGACCAGTTCAACCGGTCGTTTACCCGTTCTTGACCGGTTTGCTAGCAACCGGTTCATTTCAGCGAGTGAACAAACCGGTTCCCGGTCGGGCCAGCTGATCAGGTCTCGAAAACAGTGGTTATAATCTATCTTCAAATGTAGCAAATAAATTGGAATTATAAAAGAATGATTGAAGCTTCCAAATTTGATCAATTTTGTTATTGTCATGAAGCAGATGGAAGTTGCGTGTACTTTTAGAAAATAAACACGACTGACAGAACATGAATATGAAAATGCTGTTACTCGATTTTGATCAGGATTTCTGAGTTTATTATGTAACATGGAAGAGAATGACGTTTGCACTCAGAATTTTCAAGCTGCAAAATTTGCAGCTTCAACCTTTATAATCATGACTAGGATGGAGTTTGATATTTTATTCTGTTTCCTTTGCTTTTAATTTTTTCACACTTTTGTTAATTATTATTTTCCGAATTCAGGTTCAATCATTTATCAAAGCGCAACAAGTTCCTTCATAGCATGAGAGTGAAGCACAAAGATTCGATACCACCAATAGTGATCTCAGCACACCGGTTTACCATGATTAGTCAGCATCAAGCAGCCGCTCGGGAGTATTTGGAAGCTCATAAACTCATGCCCGATAATACATTGATCAATCTTTGTGCTGGTATATGCATCTCTGTCTCACAGTGTCGAATAATTAAATATTCTAATGCTTGGCGGAGAAAATTGTAAGTAACTGTTTTTTCTCATCTTCTGTTTTCAAGGAACTGCCTTGATAAACTTAGGCCTCGGTCACAGACTGCAAAACAAGCACCAGACCATATTGCAAGGGCTTGCTTTCCTCTATGAAAACGCACGACTTTGTGAAGGCAGCCAGGTTTGATTCTTTGTATAAATCCTTCAATATTTACTTTAGACGTGACCTTTGACTAGTTTTTTTACGTCTGTAAATTGGATTTACACCTAAAACCCCACTCCAAATCTTGTTTCTTTTGGCAGGAGTCATTGTACAATATTGCTCGGGCATACCATCACGTGGGTCTGGTTTCATTGGCCGCTACATACTACGAAAAGGTATTGGCTGTTAGGGAGAAGGATTATCCTATCCCTAGACTTCCAAACGATAATCAAGACTCGGATGATGCTAAAAAAAATCCGGGCTACTGTGATCTCCGTCGAGAGGCGGCTTATAATCTACACTTGATCTATAAGAAAAGTGGGGCATTTGATCTCGCTAGGCAGGTCTTGAAAGATCATGTTGTCTTGTGAATTGTAGTACTCGTATGAACTATGCCATCTACGGGTGATAAGTTATAATTATCAAAACCTACTTGAATGGTAATTTAAATTGCCATTGGAAATATGATTTATTGTATATTCAAATAAAAGAGTTCAATAAAGTACTTTAAATATTTGGAAATTAGTTTTAAATCTAAATTTCTTGTTAATATTCATAAAGTTAAGACGAATAGATGATTATATGCATTTTCTAAATTCTTAATATGATTGTTTCCGTCACAAGTATTTACTACGCTAAAGTTACCAACAGTTTATATTTTTAACAAAATTCCCATTTATACAAGAAGTTTCCATGTCGTATGTGGCATCTAGTGTTTTTTTGTGAGGATACTCACAATATTTACGTTTTTTCGTTAAATTATATAACACTTAATTTAGGATTTTCACATTGTTTGACTTTTAAATGACTTTACTAGCCACTATTTCTAATTCTAGTTATTAATTTATTATACTACATGAAAAATATATCAATATATATGATAGAAAACTTTAAAATTTGGTGGGGCAAATGATCTCAATCGGATTGAACAACCATGCATATGCGCTTGATCGATAGAAAGACTAGCAAAACATCGCTAGAAGTTGTCCCGACGTAAAAGATCTGTCGCTCAAGTCAGTGAACAGTGATGAGAAGATGAACATTATGAATTGTATATAGTTGTAGGTATATTATAGTGTGTAGAGTGTAAGTGATCACACGTCATCCTTTATATATGAGTGTTACCTTGTTGTTCAATGTTGCAACTGCCCAATTCTGCTAGGTCACGTGATCTACCTCATTAAAGTCTAATTGTGCCACCCACTCAGATTCCCTTGAACCAAGTTGCTCCGATCTTCATTGGATAAAACATTCTCTTAGGTCGTGCATCAACTTGCACACTCCAGGTCGAGTTTCCATCAGGCTAGCAAAGAGCCCTAACTCGACCTATTGGCGAGTTCTCTTATCTGTGGGATCACCATCGACTTGGTGATTCTTCGACCTCCGCTATCTTTGAAGTCTGGCAGACGTACAGGTTCACTTGATTCGGTCGGAGCGCACTTTAGGCCATACACGACCTGCTATGGTATCCCATATCACATGGTCCCTCCAATCTGGTCGAGTAGGGATAACTCGAGCTAAGAGTGAATCAATTAACCCCAGTTATGCTCATTGAGCTCACGACCTGTTGAGCCGACTTGCCAGCTCACCTTTACTTTTCTTGTCCAGTCAACACAACTCGTTCGACCTATGTATAAGGTTCTTAAAATCAAATTTCGAAATTTAAATTCCTGACACCATGTCAGGTCAACTGATATATCTTCACATCAGAGTAACAAAATTTCAACGTTATCGCCTTAAGTCCCATTCCATTATCAAACGACGTGCCCATTAATGTTTCTTCTTGCCTATCTGCCCGACTTTGCTTTCATTCAACGGTCCAGATTGACCTATCTTTTCAGCTTGCGCTTTTAATCTCTTCCTTCCATTTCAACCATGATCGGACGGTCCTACTCGACCACCTCTTCACCTTCTCAACTTTCCATCCTGCATGTGAATTTTATGCTGTGACCCGCGAGGATCTCGTTATGTACAAGTCACGAATTGAATAATCAACAATAAAACCTATGTGCAACGAATCTAGAGGTTTAAATTTAAAAACTTACTGTTTAAAAATTGCATACTCAAAGATGTTGTAGATTTTCACTATCAGAGATCGTCTAAACCCTCCGAATCTGTTGGGACAACTGAATTAATGCCTCGACGGCCGTCACGGGGTCGTCGAATCATCACGCGGTTGCGTCAGGTGCATATATCAAGTATCTTAAAATGATTTTGAACAATAAATGATCCTCCACGCTAAAAAATCATGGCTATCAATCATTTATACATAAAAATATACATTGAATGAAAAGCCAATGCAAATCGAAAATAATAATAATAATAATAATTATTATTATTATAATAATAATAATAAATTTATATGAATATTGATAACTTGCATATGATTTTAAAATATTATGCTAAACTTATTGTATTTGATTTTGTAAATAACTATTATTTTAAGTTTATTTATTTTGCATTTATGTGCCTGTAATAAAACAATTGAAACCAAGTAAATATTTTTACGTCTGTTGTGTACATATTATTCTTTTTTACCGAGTACCGAATCAAATGATTCGTTCCCCGGGTCGATCTCACGAGGAAGGCGGTTCGGAATTCAGTTCTGATATTGATAACTCATAAAAGCAAAGAAAATCCTAAACATACTAATCAAATAGGAGAGGAATGAATTACCAACTAAGAAATAACATAAAAATAATAATCTACCTAAGAAATACGAACGAAACAAAGATGAGAAGCTAGGGAATCGGGGATAATCAATTCAAGTTCTACTCACACAACGGGACATGAATCATTCTATTCTAGATTGACGCTCTCGCTTAAACATCTAGCGGTTCGCTCCCAATAACTCTTCGTAACAAGGGATTGAACATAGACGAACAAGTTCGAGCATACGACACTGCCAATTATCCCGATCCCAATAACTTTTCGTAACAAAGGACGGGTCATCGACAAGCACGTATCTCAATCTAAAACACATAGATTATTCAGTTATAAAATCATCTACCTCATAAGAGCCTAGGCATACGACTTCTCCCCTTTCGGTTCTGAAAATCGCTAATTTAACTAGAAGATGATTAATCAACTAGTCATAAGAAATTGACAAAATGTAATTTGACAAATAAACATTCAATTGTTCCCAATCACAAGATCGAAGTGTCACCCTTCGATTACATCAATCAATTAAGCCCAAATAAATCAATTCCTAATCAATTCTACTCTCATAAGCATGAACAATTCAAGCCCGACAGATGCGAATTAAACAAGAACAATCATTCCCCTATCCCTATCACTGAGATTTAGCTACGTAAAATTAATTCAACACACATAATCAATTCTCCCAATTCAACCATTATTCGTGAATTAAACAGAAGAGAAAAGAAACTTACGATTAATCTCAAATCCAGGTGTTGAATATCAGTTACAAGCTTAATCCCAAAAACCAGAATAATTTCTAGATAAAAGATGAAAAATAAGGATTAAGAGAAGAAAAAGAACGAAGAAGAAGAAGAAGAAGAAGAAGGAAGGGAAGAGAAGGAGATTTCGTGTTTTCTCGGGACCTAGGGCTTTCACCCGGTCGAGAGATGTTTTTTTTTATGCCCGATACGA